ACTCCACTTCCGGTCCTGGGCGGAGCCTCCGCGGCCCCCGCAGGTCTGTGCGCCCCTGTCGCCACCCACCCCCAGCCCTGCAGCGAAGCCCCTGGGACAGCCCAGGTGGACCCCGAGTGGAGCCGCCCTCCCCGCCGGAGGGACGCGCCGCCCAACCTGGGTCTGGTCGGACACATGGCTCTTGGGCCCTGGGAGGGGCCAGGGTCCGGGCAAGGGCGGGCTCGGGGAGGCGCCTGCACCCCGGGACCAGCTCCCGTTCTGGGGGAGACTGATGCGGGCCGCTCCGAGACTGCGGGCGCTCCAGCGACACCTGGGCTCCTCGGAGGTAGGGGATAGGCCCCGAGCTGGTTCCGGCTCGTCAGCAGGGCCAGGGCTAAGGTCCCAGGTGACCCCTGAGCCAGGGGACAGAGGGCTGGACTCCGGGAGAACGAGCACCCCGGGTCCGGCCACCCGCAGCCGGCACGGAGTGGCTGGAGTGGGGGGCCTCTGCGCGGAGATGCCCTTCAGTGTCCGGACGGAGGGGAGGGGGCCCGGTAGGAGTTGGTGTGGCGGAGTGGGGGGCTGGCCGGCATTGTTTATCAACCGTCTTTCAGTGTGTTAACCCCACAGCCTCCGCGGCTGACTCAGCAGCTCCTAGCCACCCCGCCCCCCAGGGTCCAGCTCTAGGGCCAGTGTGGACCCGGGGCTGGGCCCCACGTGCTCATTCTGTCCCTCTCTTGGGGCGCAGGGCAGAGGCATGGAGCCGACCAGCAGCCCGCTGACCACACACGTGCTGGACACTGCCTCGGGGCTTCCGGCCCAGGGCCTCTGCCTCTGTCTGTCTAGGTTTGAGGACCATGGCCGGCAGTGGACAGAGCTGAGGAAAAGGTAGGCTTGAGGTCTGGGCGGGAGGTGAGTCCAGACCACCTCTCCAAAGCCAGGGGGCAAGGAGAAGAACGCAGCCAGCCAGTGAGTGCTGACGGCTGTGGTGTGGTCCCCTCAGCCTCACAGCCCCAGTGCCTCTCCCTGAGGGCAGGGCTGGCTAAGGCTAAGGTGTAACCCAAGGGCCTCACGGTTACCGTGATTAACAGGTAACTTTGTGCCAGGCAGCTGAGCACATTACTTCTCTTCTTATTCTCACTACAGCCTGTGGGCAGGCCCCATAATTACCCCTTTTATAGATGGGGAGACTGAGACAGCAAGAGGTAAGTAAAAGCTGGGATCCCATGCCTCGCCTGGCGGCTGGGCCCCTCAGCAGGACCGGGGGCCCTGGCCCCAGGTTCAGGCACCGCCTGGTAGCTGCCCTGTGAGCCTCTCCAAGGAGGCAGGCTCCCTCTGGTGGTGGGAGTGGGCGGCCGGGCCCCAAAGGTTCAGGGCCCGAGGGCGTGGAGCTCATCCCCCGCCCTTCACCGAGGCTGGGGGTCCAGGTCCCATCTGAGTGGCCTGCTCTGGTCCTAAAAGAATCCATGGAGTCCCTTGGAGGGTCACAGACCCATTCCCAACCCCCCATAAACTGTGGGTACAGGACAGAAACTTGAATCACAGCTGGTGGGAACGATGCCAGGGCTCTCCAGGGGTGACCGGGGAGGGGGCATAAATCGGTGAGCAAAGCGACAGGCCCTCCATTCGGACACTCCGTGCAGGGCACACTGGCCACCATGCAGATGGGGGTGTGGGTACAGTTACTGGCTAGAAAGCCACACGCAGTGTAGTAAATGAAAAGTACAAGTTATCAAACAGTATGTACAGTATAATCCATTTTAGGGTATTTTCCTAAGTTTACAAATAAGCAGGGCACCTGGGTGGCTCAGTTGGTTAAGCGACTGCCTTCGGCTCAGGTCATGATCCTGGAGTCCCTGGATCGAGTCCCGCATCGGGCTCTCTGCTCAGCAGGGAGTCTGCTTCTCCCTCTGACCCTCCCCCCTCTCATGTGCTCTCTCTCTCTATCTCATTCTCTCTCAAATAAATAAATAAAATCTTAAAAAAAAAAAAGTTTACAAATAAGCAGTTATGTGTAGAGAAAATCTGGAAAAATATATGCCAATATAAAGGGATTGTTGCTCATAAAATAGATTTGGTTTTTTTGTGTTTTTTTTACTTTTCTGCTTCTCTGTATTGGGAGTTCTGTCTACAAAGACAGTGCAGTGGTGTCCCTGAGCTCCTCCGGGACCCCAGGCCCTAGACCTGCTGTGGGGGAGTCTGAGGCCCCTGGCCATGCAGACCCTGGAGGACCAAGCAGGGGCGAGTCCTCACCAACCCCTCCCTCCACTCTCCCCAGCTACACCGACTCGGACGGCCGCTGCCCAGGGCTCCTGCCACCAGGCCCGATGAAGGCAGGCACCTACAAGCTGTCCTTTGACACCGAGGGCTACTGGAAGAAGAGGGGGCAGGAGAGCTTCTACCCATACGTGGAGGTGAGGGCCCACGGTGGAGGCCCGTGACTCACCCAGGTCCCTGCAGTGGGCAGGCTGGTCCTACCCCTCCCACCTCTCCCAGGGCGGTAGCAGTGAGTCCACGGCTTTGAGCTCCCAGAAAAAAGGTGTCCAGGGACTTTACCACAACACACCCGTCCCTGCCCTGTCCCTGGGTGAGGCTGTGGGGGGCAGGGCCCAAAGTGACTCAGCCCCTGTGGGACAAAGGCGCTCACCTGACCCTGTTCAAGGTGGATCTTTTGGGTTCCTCAAGTCGATGACTCTCTCCAGAGAGGATTCAGCCGCATCGCAGCCCTGGCCAGGTTTCCAGCTTTCCACAAGCCCCAGCTGGCCCCGCTTAACTCTGCCCCTGGCCCACAGTCTGGGCTGCTTGCGTGCTGCATACGAGCCCCTCAATCTCTTCCGGTGCCTTCTCTGCTTCTCAGGTTGTTTTCACCATCACTGACGAGACCCACCGGTTCCACGTGCCCCTGCTGCTGAGCCCATGGTCCTACACCACGTATCGAGGGAGCTAGTGGCCGGGCCATCACCTCTGGCCAGCTGCGGGCCTGTGAGCACTGATCCCATCCCCACGGCTCCCTGAGACACCCCAAGAGAGGGCAGCAGGGCATCTCCCTGTGGGAGATTCTGGCCCTCCACCTCCAGTTGCCGTTGAGTCTCAGGCCTCAGTAAAGTCGGTGTCGGTATCTGTAAGGCTGCTGCAGTCCCTGGGCTCAGCTGGTGCTGCCCTGGCCCCGAGGTGGGAGGGAGGGCAGGGGTATGCACAGACCGGACGGGCAGCAGGGAAGGAAGTGGTCAGGGCACCGTGGGCCCGGGAGGTGCCTCTCCCACACAGCAAGGCAAAAGGACACATAGCAAATGTAGAAAACCTTTATTTGTAGATGATACAAATCTAAAAAAAAAAACAGTTCCTGTCCTTGGTGAAAGGGAAGGTCATCCAGGGAGCAGTCCTGGGCAAGCACTACGTCGGGGTGCCCACGAGTCCCGCGGGGCCCTGGCCCAGCATCTGCCCGATCACAGCTGTCTCCAGAGGCTTGAAGCCCACGTTGTCCAGAGGGATCCCAAAGGCCAGGAGCTTCGCCTCATAGGTGCGCAGCAGGTCATTGTGGGCCTGTAGGGTCAGAGCGGCATCAGGGGAGGGGGCGAGGCCGCACCGAGGCTGACTCTAGCCCAGGCCCCCTCAGCTCTGGAGGACGCGGGAGGGTGACAGTGGAAAACCGTAAAGCTGACCTTAACCAGTGGCTCACAGTACACCACACCTGGGTCATAAACACTTCCATGTACATGAACTCAAGTAATTCACAATGGGAGATGCTGCCGTTGTTCCTATTTCAAAGATGGGGAAACTGAGGCAGAAGATACAGACTCAGCAGAACTGTGGTCTGAGCACGCTCCTGGTTCCTTGTCAGGCATTCGTCAATCAAACTGGTCATTCTTGACTTCCCGGACATGACCTTGCACGTGTACGTGCTCGGCCTCACTGAGCCTCCCTGCTTTGTCTGATGGTATCTCCTGCCCCCCCACCCCAGGAAGGCTAAGGTCTGGGCAACAGTGCTGCTGGGGCCAATGGGAGGCATGGTTCCTATTCCCTACTCTGGGAAACGGCTATTTTTTAAAGAGTGAATTGCATCAGATGGTTGTAAGGGTTTGAAGAGCTGATGCATGTGAAAAGCTTGGAGCCTGGCCTGACTCAGATCCAAAGCCCAAAAGGGCTCATTATCCTCACCATCATCAAGAAAAGGGTTGCTGGAGCTTGGAACTGAGATTTCAAGGGTGAACTATGGCCAAGCTCCAGAGAGAACTTGGGGCCTGGGGCCTGGCTCTCACCCTTCTCTGGGGGACGGACCTCCTGACAGTCAGGTACAAGTAATGGACATTCCCCCAGAAGTGCACACAGTAAATGGCCCTAATGTTGTGCGTGTAAATATCAGGGGATGCGCAGCATCTAAGGGAAGGGCCCGGGGGGGGCAGGGCCAAGGAGAGGCCCAGCGAGATCTGGTCACCATGGAACCCAGCGCCAATGACAGGCACTCCCTCCCTCCTGGGGTTCCACACCCAGGGCGCACAGAACCACAAAGCAACCTCCACCCTGCATATTTACAGGCTTATCTGAGTCATACTCGTGGGGTGGCTGCTCGAGGTAAATGTATCTGGAGGCAGCACTATGTCTGTATTCCCCACAGGCAAAGGCCAGATAGCTGTGGGCTCAGCCATGGAAGCGGGACCACTGGGGAGAGGGCCCAGGCCTCTTGGGTACACGGGGCAGACAACAGCAGGCTCAAGGCACCCACTGCCCCTCCCCGGCTGCAGGAGGCTTCCATGCTGATGCGTGGTTTTGGTGTGGATAGGGTGTGCAGCTTTCATCGGACTTACAAAGGAGGCAGAGAAAGTTAGACTTGTAACTGTCCCCTGCGTGGAGGAAGCAAAGGAAGCCCATCCAATCACCCCAGAGGCCACGTCACCGAGAGCAAGGGTCAGATGGGAGACAGGAACAGAGTGTGCTGGACAAACAAATTGCCCTCATCTACCAGATATCCCCTGGGCAGTCCCTGTAAGGGACACCAGGACAGTGGCCAGAGTTGTGGGGATGTGGCCCAGGCCACACACAGTGACCTGAGACGGCACAGACAGCCTCAGGCTGTGTCTACCTCCAAGGTGTAGATAAGGTGGGGCCCTGAGAGAGGGGCAGGGGGGCTCCTGGTACCTTGCAGACCCGGGCCAGCTCATACTGCAAGTCCTTGATAGTGTTGTTCTTTGATTCTAGAACATCCTAAGGAGAGAAAGGTGGATGTGAGTTTGAGCCTGTCTTTGGGCTGAAGGAGACAGGGGTTGGTGGGGGTCTGGAAGCTCCAGCAGGAGACCTCAGACATCCAGGGAATAGCAGCCGGGCTCCATCAGTGTAGACGTCCACACAGGGAGCAGCCAGCTAGCACGGAAAGGTCTTCAAAGGAGAAAGGGAAAAATAGGATAAGCCTCTCTGTAAGGAAACCGTCTAGATGGTGGGAAGTGAGGACAAGAGTTTAGAGAAGCCAGGCCACCAACGGTCCAGGGAAGGGCCCTTGAGCCCCCACCTGCCTCCTAGGAGGGTTCCTCCAGGCAAGCCAGGGAATTGACCAGGAAAGGCCCTGGCCCATGGACACAGCTGCAGCGACCACTATGGATGGGACTGATTTTATCCCCTCATCATGACTGCTGGCAACAGCCTCACCCAGCTCCGAGACCAGGCGCCCTTCCCAACAGCAGAGGCGGGAAAGCTCTCCCGTTTCCAAGAGCGCCCTCACTCCCTGCCTGGCAGAGTTCACAAGTAGGTACAAGGATACGAGGATAGAGACGGGCCCCCAGACCCCGGTCCACAGTGCTGCCAGCCCACACGAGGCCCCGAGAGCCTGTCCCAGGTGACTCTGGCCCCACAGACCCTGCCGCCCGCCGAGCCGGGACTCGCGACTGCCCAGGAGCAACATCTGGTCTCAGCCGGAAATGGGCACCATGTCTCCTTGGACTCCTCAGCCCTCTTCCATCAGCAACAAGTCCTTCATCCCGCATCGGGGCCAGCTCACCTCCTGCCTTCCCAGGGGGGGCTCTGTCTGATCCAGTCCACCCCACCCAGAACCTTCCATGGTTCCTCACCAGCCTCAAACTCAGGCACACCCAACACGCTTCGGAACCACTCCCATCCAGCCGGCTCTGCCCTCCTCCCCTCAGCCTTGCATTCCCCCCAACACCCAAGCAGCAAGGCGCTCACACGTGTCCAACAGCACTGTTGGGAGCTGCAAGCCTCAGGTCAAGGCCAGGCGGGCAGCAAGCCAGCCTACGGTGTTTTGGGTTTTTTTTTAAGATTTATTTATTTGAAAGAGAGAGAGAGAGAACGTGTGCCTAAGAGCGGGGGAGGGGAAGAGGGCGAGGGAGAGACAGAATCTCAAGCAGACTCCACACTGAGCGCAGAGCCCGATACAGGGCTCAATCTCACGGGTCGTGAGATCGGGACCTGGGCGGAAACCAAGAGTCAGACAGGCATGTAATCAACTGAGCCACTCAGGCACCCCGAAAGGGCTTTAAGAAAAGATTAGGTGACCCGACACAGTTACTCCTCTGAGCCTGGGTGCCATGTGAGCAGACAGGGTTACTGCATGTTGACAAATCACCTGAAAAATGCTGTCTGTGTATTTGCACGGGGTGCCTGGGTGGCTCAGTTGTTACACGTCCGCCTTCAGCTCAGGTCATGATCCCAGGGTCCTGGGGTCGAGCCCCGCATCGGGCTCCCTGCTCAGTGGGAAGCCTGCTTCTCCCTCTCCCTCTGCCTGCAGCTCCCCCTGCTTGTGCTCTCTTTCTCACTATCTCTATCTCTGTCAAATAAATAAATAAAATCTTAAACACACACACACACACACACATACACACATACACATACACACACACTCACACACACACGCATACACACACACATACACACACACATACACACACACACCTACCTGTACAGTGAAGCCTCCTTAAGCCCCTGACTCAGTTTCTCTGTGAAGGAAGAGCAGAGGAGGCACCCTCCAGCCTGGAAGGATCTGTCTCTGGGACAAGCTGGCCGCCCCTCCCTGGGCCTCCCTATGGAGACGTGCAGACCCCCAAGGGCCCTGCACCTGGGGCCGCCTCAGGCCTGAAGGCTGCAGGTCACCCAGGTGGCCAGGATCCCAGCACAACCACTTCCCAGCAGCAACAAAGACCCCTTGTCCGTTCTTTCTGTGACACGTCCTAGCGAGGCCCAGGGAACAGACACAAGGCCCAGCTCCGGGCAGGAGATGACCTGCCAGGTGCTGGCAGGCTTCTGCCTGGTGATCGCTGTTCTGATTCCTGTCCGTGGGCGCCCAGGCCTCATCTGTCTGGTTTAATGCTCTCCCCTGTGCCCAAGACAGCCCCCCCAGAGAGGACTACCACACAGAACCGTGAACTCACGACTGACAAATGCTCTAGCCTCTGCTCAGACCTTAACTCCCTCTGGGAAGCCTGCCCCAGTACCCGCCACACAGCCCTGTATGTCCCCGTCCTGACTGCCCACAGCCTACATCAAGAAGGACATCCTCGCATCCCCGGCGGACTGTGGCCGTGGCCTTGGCTACGAGCTCATGGGCCCGGCTGTCCCCCAGGCCTATCTCTAGGTTTGTCACCAGACGTCTGAGGAGTGCAGGCCCTGAGTTTTGAGAGCAGCTTGAGAGACCCGGGGCCTGACAGGCTAAGCTAAACCCAGCCTGAGCACTGGATGGGCAGTGGGCTCAGGGCCAGAAGGTGCCAAGAGGTTAAGGAGGGGACTGGGGAAACACCGAGCAACAGAGAGCCTGGGGAGGCTGTGAGCAGACGTCTGCAAGCCCCATCTGTGCTCCGGCCACAGGAAACCCATGACGGCCCCTCCCCAGTGTTACCAGAAGGTCTCCACTGGAGTGACGGAGGCTGGACACACACACATCCAACACGCGGCCCCAACCCGAGCCCCGGACACCTGCTGGGGGACAAGAACGGGAGGCTGCAGCCTGGGACCCACCTCCAGTTTGCGGGACACAAGGGTCAGCGCCGCGGGGTCCAGGTTGGAGGCTGCCAGCACCTCACTGAACTGCACCTCCTTCTTCTCCACAGAAGCACTCAGCACCTGCAGCTTCCGCTCCAGAACCAGGTTCTTGAAACCCACCTTCTGCTGCACCTCCAGGATGGCCGCAGTAAACTTCCTGTACAGCTCGTCCCGCTCCTGCTGCACCTGCAAGGGACAGGCTGTGGGGGACAAAGAGGCCACCTGCCCTGGGGGCATCTCGCTGGGGAGAAGCCGCCTCCCACCTCTGCCCCTGGACCAGAACATACCTCTTCTGCAGAGTGAACCCCTTGCACCTGGGTCCCCCCACGGGTGGGTGGGTCTGTGTGCTGTCTACACTGCCTGCACGCCCACTCTCTGTGATGGAATTAAAGGCATGCAGCCGTCTACACTGTGGAAGGCAGGAGGAAACACTAGCTGGACCCACCTCTACTAAGCTGTTTCAGGAAGCAACAGGGTACCCCGCTTAGAGCTGGAGAGGCACCACAGAGGGGCTGGGGCCCAGGGTTTGGGCAGGACGATCAGGAAAGACACATCCCTGATCACCCCTACGTGGGATCAAAGGCATCAAACTCCAGCGAGCAGTGTTTGGGGAAGGGAGGCTCCTAGGGATCCACACCCTCGGCCAGCCCCAGATCCCAGAACCCCACAGGTCAGCGTGCCCCACAAATAGCAGATCTAGAGAACAACTCTGCAGCCAACTGCCTATTATAAATAAAGGTGTTCTTTTTTTTTTTTTTTTTAAAGATTTTATTTATTTATTTGAGACAGAGAGAATGAGAGAGAGAGAGCACATGAGAGGGGGGAGGGTCAGAGGCA